GCAGTGGTGCTGGATGACTCCAAGCGGGTAGCCAAGAGGAAGCTGATCGAGGAGAACCGGGAGCGGCGGCGGAAGGAGGAGATGATCAAATCCCTGCAGCACCGCCCCAACCCCAGCGCCGAGGAGTGGGAGCTGATCCACGTTGTGACAGAAGCCCACCGCAGCACCAATGCCCAGGGCAGCCACTGGAAGCAGAAGCGGAAATTCCTGGTGAGGGGATGCAGTGGAGGGGCTCTGTCACCACCTCGGGCGCTCAGCACACACGTGGTGGCAGTGCCAGGTTTGGGATGTCACCGTGTCCTTGGGCACTCGAGGGGGGTTGGGACATTGCTCGGCGTCCTTGAGCTGGTCACCCCCAAAGGGTTCAGGGGGGAGCAGTGACCGAAGGGGACAGCTGTGCCCGCGGGTGGCCCTGGGCTGGCCCTGCCGCTGGCCCTGTCACTGTCCCTGTCATGCAGCTCCCTCTCCTGGCTGCTGCACCGGCCCTGCCACGGCTGTTCCCGGTGACATGGGGGCCCCAGAGGGGGGACAGGGTCACATCATGGCCTCACAGGGGTTCCAGGGAGGGGGAGCAGGGTCACACTGCACCCCCAACACCACTGCCCACCACGGGGGTCCCAGAGGGGGGGCACGGTCACACTGCACCCCCATGTGCCACTGTCCACTGTGGGGGTCATGGAAGGGAAAGAGTCACTCTGCACCCCCTAACACCACTGTGGGGGCCACAGGTTGGTCACACCATGGTCACCCCACAGCCCCAGTGCCACCGTGGGTGTCCCGGGGTGGGACATGGTCACGCCACACCCGCCACTGCCACCACGGTGGTCCCAGGGGACACATGGTGACGTGACACCCCAACACCACCGTGTCCCCCACAGCCTGAGGACATCGGCCAGTCCCCTATGGCCTCCATGCCTGATGGGGACAAAGTCGACCTGGAGGCGTTCAGCGAGTTTACAAAAATCATCACCCCGGCCATCACCCGCGTGGTCGACTTTGCCAAAAAACTGCCCATGTTTTCAGAGGTAACGCAGGCTGGGGACTTTGGGAGGCGTGGGGTGCTCTGCCCAGTGTCTACATCACACCAAACCCCCCCAAAACTGCCCCCAGCTGCCTTGTGAGGACCAGATCATCCTGCTGAAGGGGTGCTGCATGGAGATCATGTCA